GACTGAGCCCGTGATGAGTCACCACGTGGAAGAAAACGTAGATCCGTGGAATTCACAGTGGCAGCAAGTGTGTATCCTGTCCCTTCCTTCCGGCTAGCCCTGTAACACACAAACGCATAGCTTAATAGTGAGAGATGATACTGGGACTGATCACCCCTATTTAAAAGTGAGGAAGAGGTCTCTGTCCTCTCTCTGCTTTCCTCGTTCTTAATACTGGTTATTGTTCTGTAGGATAAAAAGGAACTTAACTATTTAAAGTATTTATTAACTTTAACCATGTTGATTTTTATTTCAGGACATGCTCATTACCCTAAGTTTTCCTTCATAATCATTATTTATTTTAAGCGTTTTACAAAAACATTATTTTATTTGTATTGATATTCACTCATTCCTCCTTTCACTATTATCAGCAACATTAAACTTAGATCTATGATTTAAAATTCTCACCAATAGAGACATTTTTACCCACTTATAATCATAATCGTTATTCATTAAGGGCAAAATCCTTCAGACCTCATTCTGATAATACCTTAGGCTTCTCTGAGAGCTTTTCATAAGTAAGTATTTGGGGATCTGGCTCTCAGCTATTTGCCTGTTACAGTTTTTGCCTCCAAAGGTCAAATGTCTCTGTGTAGGATGCTTTGTGTCCAATACGCTGCTCAACTATAGTTGTTTTGTTGTACCTTTACTTTTGAAATAGTCTCTGAAGTTTTGTTCTTTAGGAGGATAGATGTATGTTTATTTGACAGATGTACCTATATCTAACATGTTACTTAGTGCACAATCCAGATGTTTTTGCATGTATTGTAACTTATCTTTTGACCTGAGGTTATTGCTTTGTATTGTTAGTAAAGCATATCAGGCAGGATGTTGTGCCTATATGCTAATTAAACTTTCTTTTTTTTCCGGAGTTTCAAGGGTCCTTACTGGTATCTGTTGGGGTTTTTTGCCCCCCAGGGGTGAATAATTAAATCTGCTCCTGCTGAATTACTGAGTCTTTTAGAGAAACATGGGAGGGGAAGTGACAAGGGCAAAAATCAGAGAAAGTTCTGGGTCTCTACTGGCAAAGAATGGTTTGAGCTACTGCGTTTTAATCTTTTTTTCACTCATGCTGCATTGCAGCTGCTGTGGACATCAATGGCAATAATGCTGACTTTAACTTGGAACAGAGAATGAAGCCTCCTTCATACACAAATAGAAATGCAGATCCACTGTGAAGTGCATACTTTGCATTTTATATGTAGTTTGCACTTACAACTAAATGAGACACGTAACAGATGAAACTGAAGCAGCCACACAATGCATTCTTCTCCGGCTGAGGAAAACCTCTCCCCATCCACACCTCCATTCCCTTCATAGGGAGTTACAAGTAGGTGGAGTTTAATTAACATTTCAGGAGGTGTTTAAGCACTTCCCATTCCAATAGAATATTTCTCTAGGCATAAGAGAATGAATTATATAAACCAAGTAAGTAACATTGCCCCTAACTTCTTTATCCTGTTGGTTTGGGTTTGGACTTTGGTCTAAACATCCCTAGCCTTCTCTTGGCTGGTGTCCTTCCCTGAACTTAAAGTAGTAGTATAGCTGTATTTTATACCTGAGTAAACACAGAAAACATTTTAGCTTTGTAAGTACAGTGCCTCCCTCTTGTGATACGCAAACAAGTAACACGGAGATAAAATGACTTGCAAATTGAAACAAAAGAGTTTAAGGCTACAAAACCAGGTCTCCAGCTACTGTTATGTGCTTTAATCATTGTTTACTGCTCTCCTTGTAGAAGTGAGTAATTTATTTAAGATAGAAAGATGCCTATTAAATTTCAGGTGGGGTCTTACAAGAGCAGAGTAGAGGGGCAGAATCACCTCCCTCGACCTGCCAGGCACACTTCTTTATATGCAGCCCAGGATACAATTGCCTTTCTGGGCTGCAAGAACACATTGCTAGCTCATGTCAAATTTTGTGTCCAGTAGCATCCCAAAGCCCTGGGCTGATCTCAGTCCATTTCTTCAGTCTGTACTGATATCAGAGAGTGCTCCAGTCCAGGTGCAGAACCTTGCACTTGACTTGATTGAACTTCATTGGGTTTAGAATCGTAGAATCACAGAATCGTAGAATGGTTGGAAGGGACCTTAAAGATTATCGAGTTCCAACCCACCTGCCCTGGGCAGGGACACCTCCCACCAGACCAGGTTGCTCAAAGCCCCATCCAGCCTGGCCTTGGACCCCTCCAGGGATGGGGCATCCACAGCTTCTCTGGGCAACCTGTTCCAGTGTCTCACCACCCTCACAGGAAAGAATTTCTTACTGTCTAAATGTCCCATCTTCCCATTTAAAACCGTTACCCCTCATCCTATCACTACATTCCCTGATAAAGAGTCCCTCCCCATCTCTCCTGTAGCCCCCTTTAGGTACTGCAAGAGCCTGTAAGTTCTCCCCAGAGCCTTCTCTTCTCCAGGCTGAACAACCCCAGCTCGCTGTCTTCATAGCAGAGGTGCTCCATCCCTCTGATCATTTTTGTGTCCCTCTGCTGGACCCATTCCAACAGGTCCCTGTTCTTCCTGTGTTGAGGACTCCAGAGCTGGATGCAGTACTGCAAGTGGGGTCTCATGAAAGCGGATTAGAGGAGCAGAATCACCTCCCTCGACTAGCTGGCCACAGGTCTTTTGATGCAGCCTAGGATGTCTTTCTGGGCTGCCAGCACACATTGCTGGCTCATGTCAGTCTTCTCATCCACCAACACCCCCAAGTCCTACTCAGGGCTGCTCTCCAGCCATTCTCTACCCAACCTCTATTTAGGCCTGAGATTGCCATATTCCATGTGCAGGATCTTGCACTTGGTCTGGTTGAACTTCATGAGGTTCGCATGGGCCCACCTCTCAAGCCTGTCCAGGTCCCTCTGGATGTCATCCATCCCCTCCAGCATATCAACTGTGCCACACAGCTTGGTGTCATCAGCAAACTTGCTGAGGGTGCACTCAATCCCACTGTCTATGTTGCTAACAAAGATTTTAAACAGCGCTGGTCCAGTACCAACCCCTGAGGAATACCACTTGTCACTGGCTTCCACTTGGACATTGAGCTGTTCACCGCAACTGTTTGAGTGCAGCCATCCAGCCACTTGCTTATCCACCAAGTGGTCCATCCATCAGATCCATGACTTTCCAATTTTGAGGCCAGGATGTCACAGAATCACAGAATCAGAATTGTGGTGGTTGGAAGGGACCTCAGAGATCATCGAGTCCAACCACAAAAAAAAACCAAAAACAAAAACAAAACCAACAACAACAAAAAAACACCACACCACCCACCACCTAAACACACAACAACAACCAAACCAAAAAACCATCACCCACCCACTCAGCAACCCACGACAAACCAATAATCTTGGGCACTAGAGCACGCCCTGAAGAAACATGTCTACACGTTTCTTAAATACCTCCAGGGATGGTGACTCCACCACCTCCCTGGGCAGCCCATTCCAATGCCTGATAACCCTTTCAGTAAAGAAATGTTTCCTAATATCTAACCTGAACTTCCCCTGGCGTAACTTGAAGCCATTGCCCCTTGTCCTGACATCTGTAACTTGGGAGAAGAGACCGACCCCCATCTCTCTACAGCCTCCTTTCAGGTACTTGTACAGAGCTATAAGGTCTCCCCTCAGTCTCCTCTTCCCCAGACTGAACAACCCCAGCTCCCTCAGCCTCTCCTCGTAAGACTTGTGCTCCAGACCCCTCACCAGCTTCGTTGCCCTTCTCTGGACCTGCTCCAGCACCTCAATGTCCTTCTTGTGGTAGGGGGCCCAAAACTGGACACAGGTGTCATGTGGGATGGTGTCAAACACTTTGCATAAGTCCACATAGATGGTGATTATTGTTTAAGAAGTGTTTAGCAGGAGGGAAGCTGTTTTCTAGTTGTTGGTATGTTGCAAGAAAGCTACTAAATACTCTGTAAAATTATGTACTCACTGAAAGGATTAAATCTCCAAGGACACCTGACAGCACACAAGCCTTTTTAGTCTTAATGGTGAAGAAACAGGGGGAAGCTAGCTGTTACAGGCTGTTCAAAGTCCTCAACTCTGTGAAGAAAAAACTGGAATTGGTCTTGACTAATCGTGCAAAAATATGAATGAGAATTGTGAAGACTGAACTATGCCTTGAAAAGTTATATTCTAATGTTCTGTCCCTATCTGTGTACAGCCTAGAAGAAGGAAAATTTGAGAAAAGTAGATTTTTGCTTGACATTTCCAGTTTCAAAGAGCATTTCCAGTTTCAAAGTGGAACAATCACTGCTGTGCATTCCAGTTCCATGACTGCTGGAGCCAACCCTGTACATGTGGGTTGGTAAGGGTAGTAGCAGAAGCCATTTCAAGTTTGTTTTCCTAGAGGCAGCAATTCCACTGTGTAAGCCTCTTTGACTCCTCATGCTCATGGTGTGCACATGTCTAAATGGATGGGTCAGAAAAAGAGCAATAATTATTACTTATCTAATAATTGGGCTTGGGTTCTCTCCCACTACTCTTCCTAGAGGCTCTTCATATACACAGATTGGAGACAGCATGTATAAATCATGTCTGCATCCTAGATATGTGTCACATAAATCAAAAGTAGTAACTTTTCCAGCCAGAGAAGACACAAAGTCCTATCAATGCTTTCTATTCTGCTCTAAATTACATATTTTATTTATTCCACTTCATTTACTAAATGAAGTTAAAATTTCATCTCCAATGGGAGAGTCATCTGAAGAAAAGCACCTTTTTCCTTCTCTAACCATGCCTGCTGAGATTTCCATGACAGAAAATGCTGGATCACCATGGTGGAAAGAGGTAAGATGTCCAGGGTTCAACGTATCTGAATATGTTTGTTGGCTGTCTTTCCCAAGTCGTTACTGTTTTGAATTCCCTGACAATCACAATCTCAGAACTGATTTATTTCGCCATTTAGGTAATTTTAAATTAACCGCTGCATTTTCAGAACTGTTTTAGGAG